AGTATTGTTTAGCATTGTTTTGGTGTTGCTGATAATAAAGGGAGACAATGAAGGCTGGCACATCTGTGAGCTTCCGTAGGGCTTTTGTTGCCATGTAGCTCACTGAAAGCCTTGTGTACAGCAGCAAAACACTGAATTTAAAGTTCAGATTAAAATATGTTAGAATATGATAAATAATGAGTTGCAGTTTTCTACCTCATGAGCTGTGTGCATGTCTGCTTTATTTTGCATGAGCTTTTCTTAACACCTATTATTATACTTATATCCATATTTTGTTTTCCAGTGGTGCTCTAACAAAAGAGCTGAAAAGTAGATGTTCTAGAAAACATTGTTAAAAGCAAGTACTTCAGATATAACCCCTCAGCTCTTAGTAAGATCTTGCTTTTTTAGTTGCCTCACTTGCCAACTGTAGCATCACACTGTAAACAGTGAAATGTTAAAAGCAACAGGTGATAAAGATTGTTTTTTCAAAAGAGAGCATTTAAGATATTTTCTGTAGTCTTTAAAATATAAATGCATCTATCAGTGTAAAAAAATAACTTCTTAATTTCATCACATCCCACAGCAGACTGTGACATGCAGCTTCTTTAAATGCACAAAATGAAGGATAACAAACCCACTAATCTTGCAAAGTAGATTTGATGTATAAGTATAAATGTCATGTATTCTGACACTTTGCCATGTTTAATGTTAAATGAGCTGCTTAAAAAAAAAATCTAACTTTGTTAAATAGCTTTATAAAATAGTTTTGCAATGAGAAGGCTGTGAAGAGGTGAACTAACATATTCAAGCATTGTCTGCTCACATGGCTGTAAACTTACAAATCTCTCTGAAGCCCAAGCTGACTTAAAACCTTTTTTTTGGTGCAGGTACGTGTCTGGGTATAGTACTAATTCTTTGCGGTAGTAATACTGAGTAATAAAGATTTTGCTGTACTGTCAAAATAACATAAAAATAGATTTAAAACTTTTGCTGATTTATCATTTTAAATAGTCTTAATATGTTAACAAAAAAAATCCAAGCATTTAACTACTATTATCTACAAGGTCTGTGGTAGTGTATGGCTACAACAAAGCTTAAAGACACTTTCTAGTTAGAGTGCTGATTAAATAGCAAGACAGGTGATGTTATTGTCACCAAAAAAACCCCAAACAGCCATCTAAACAGTTGATCAAGCCATACCACAATGAGCAGAAAGAACCCTAACTCTCGTGGGAAGACTGGAATAGTCAGTACTGTGTGTAGGTGATACCTCTGGTGAGTCTACGGTTAGACTAGCCACCAGTAATTTGCTTTTTGCACCCACAAATTAAGACTTACAAGAATATATTTGAGGGTGGCTTGGGAGATATTAGAACACAGTACTAGTAAGCAGGAGGACAGTAACTGTATCTCTAGATTACTGATGTAAGTAGTGTCCAAATACGCTGGTGCACCAAACTCCCAGGTTATCTTAACCCTAATAAGTGGCTTCTTAATGCTCTGCTCTTAAGTTTTCCTCTTTAAACTAAAAAGTCTTGTTTTGCTTCAGTTCTATCTCTTTCTCTTCTTCCTGGTAATATGTCCCCAATCCATGTTTTCTCGTAGCCTTCAAGATGGTCAGCAAGGCCAGCAGCCCTCCTCCCAGGTCAGAGCGCAGGCCCGCCCCCCTTCCCAGGCAGCTCTGCCCGGCGCTAGCGCCTCCTTGCTGGTGAGAAATGGGAGTGTCCACTTAGAAGCATCACATGCCACTGCATCTGCTGTAGGCGGTAGCAGTTTGCACGATGAACTTGGTATGCAGGCCTTATGTAACCTTGGTGACATGGAAGTTTTAATACGGCAGATGTATCGGTAATAATGCGGTGAAAATCAGCTAACTAACCTTAGCTTTGTTTCTGAATCTTGTAGGTGCATTTCTTAGAAGGCCATGTTGCTCATAAATTCCTTGCCTTTCACAGTTGCCTTTCCAGGCATTTTGTCTAACAAATGCATGATGGGAAACATTCTAAGGATGCATAGATACAAGTAGTGATGGTGTGAGAGCTTTCATGACTTGAACAATGTAACGTGTAACGCATAAGTTTTCTTACACTGTCATAGGAAGTTGGGCAGAGATTGATACCAACTTTGAGGAACTTCTGATTCCTGATAAATTCCTGACCTTGTTATGGTCCCTAGGAATTCTTGATCGTACTTTTCTAGATGAGTCTTGCTTAGCTGTTGTTTAAAAAAGAAATCCTCATGTAAATTAGAGTGCTTTACTTTTCCTGTACGCTTTAATTTATGAGCTTGAGATTGAAAGAAAATCTGGACTCTTTTATGTATCAAATGCTATCATTTCATGGAGCCTTACAGTGTCCCTTAGTTCTTTATGGTCAATTTTATGTAGTATTCTGAACTGTTATTAACTTTTATTAACTTCTACACAGTTAATAAAATTGCTAGGGAGAAGGAAGTTAAGATGGTCATAAGAAGTGACTGATCTCTTGTGGCACAGTAGTGCAGGGGCAGATGTGGAAAAATTCCTGGCAGGGATATTTGCAGCTATCTATACATGGCCTGAATTACTTATGACTTCAGCATTAATATGGAATTCTTCCTCAAATTATTAAAATAGGCATCTTTAGAACTGACAGTATTTTGAGCAGCTGTCAGCTGTAATAACTTAAAAGTACAGGTTAGCTTAGAACACTGACAAAACACTTGTTTCAGATCTTATGCTAACCCAGTACTAAAAGACAAGTGAATTGTCATCTTATTTGTTTAGTAGGGAAGACTTCAGGAGTTACCAGGCTGTGGTACTCCTTTAAATATGAGTTTGGCTAACAAATTGCCATTCTTTGGCACTATCTAGCTGCAATATAAGGGAAAAAAAAGAATGTAAGCAAAACCGAAAACAACCCTCATGTTCTCTGAGGTGTCTTGTAAAATTTAACTACAGTTGTCCTAAATGCACAGAGTCTCCTAATCTGATAACTTTTGTTTTAGAGTCTGTGGCTCTGCTACTAGTTTCCAGATTAGAAAAAGTCAAGACTTTTATCTCAATGCTTGTATGTATCTCTGAACTATGAAAGCTTATCGTGTGAAACTAAAGATTTCTTTAATTTGGACTCTTATTTCTTGTTTGAAAAAATACTGAAATATAACTCTGAAATTCAGCAATACTGGTTAAATCTCTCCAAGGTTAATGTTGAGATTTATTCTTAAAGCCACCATTATTGTATTTGAAGGATTTTATTCATCTTGCCCAAAATAATACAATAAAATTTTCTAGAATTCAGGACTTAATACACAATCTAGTTCTTAAAAAACTTAAATTACTACATTGTAGTAGAAATCAAAGTGGATCATTTAAGAAATTCAACATTGCATTCATGCTTTCTGAAAAGGCATATTCATTGCACTTGGCATGTATTGGAGTCTTTTGAAATTTACGTAGCTAAATTCTTCTGAAATTTTGTGTGGAGCAGCACATTGTCTTTGTGAGGCACAAAACCTCCAGGATCTGCTCAGTTAAAAATCTGATGTGTAAAAGGAATTTATTCCTGATTTGAAGCTCTGAGCATCTGTTTAAAAACCTTCCATGCATGAAAGCAACTATTATAGGCAAGATCCATTTTCATTCTTTTTAGGAAAATAAAATTTTCTACTTTGTGTGACAAGTACTATCTTTTGTTAGAGTAAAATAGGTGGCAAAGTGGTGCAAGCTTTCACATGCACGGTTCATTTATCAGGCCTGACAAGAAGGGAAAGTATCTTTCCTTATAACTGGTACATGGTTTGTTTGGTTTGGGTTTTTTGTTTGTTTTATCCTCAGTCAGGGATGAAGTAACACTACTGCTCTGTTTCCCTTAAGTCTAAGAGACTGTTGGTTTTGCTTTGTTGTCCCAAGATACCTTACAGTGAAAGACGACCCTGTTACTTTACTTTAGATTGTGTATGGTTGGGGGTAGGAGAGGGGAGTAATTTGTTTTTTCTTTTAACTTTTATTCTGATGCTGATCAATGCAATGCATATTGTATGACCAAATCTTTGTCACTGTGGAAAAAATAATTGAAAATGGAGGCTGGGGAAAAGAGATGGAAACAAAACCTGATTTACAGTAATTGGAAATACAAGTGACTAATGTAATAGATGAGATTTATATGCGTTGTACAGAGATATATATTTTTTTTTTCCTACTGAAATTCTATTAGCATATTCTACCTCTTCTGGAAGACAAACAAGGCATGTGTTAATCTATGTTAAAAGCCCCCACATTTAGGACTCCTTTTTGTACACCAATGCCCTATCCGCTTCTACATTCTTGCCATTTATGTGTTGATGCCAAGCTGCAGCTCTTAACAAGACACACTTTTTTTTTTTTTTGTTTGCTTTAAAGATTCCTGTCTATTAACTTGATTCTGGTGGTTTATTTTACAAAGGATGAACCTTACTGTATTATACCTGGCCTACATCCAGTCTGGTGACTACACAGTCATCTTTAACAGGGCATTGTCCTGAGAGTAAGGCAACAGATGCTTTGAGGCTTTCATTATCTTTAGTCTTCCAGGTTCAAAGTAGATTTTTCTGAATTATGTTGTTGTTTGTGAGGGGGAAGGAACTCAAAAGGATGGAAAAGGAGCTTAATGTGGAGCAATCGTAAGAGGAATGCAGGACAGTGGCAGATCAAATGCCATGATTACAGGCAGGGTTAGTATAATGTGAATGCACAAAGCAGCAAAACACATACCATGACTTAGGTGAATACCAGGACTTAGGTCTTCAGAGCACAGTGTGGCAGTACTAATGCCTTTTATTCTCGCTAATATCTGATTCTTGAGGTATGTAGGTGATGGGTGGGATTTTTCAGTTCTTGGAGTGAAGGCTGTAGGTGTTACAATTTGTGAAGTAGTTAGGAAATCAAGTACTGAGCTACTAGAACAGATGCCCAGTTTCTGAAACTGGGGTGAAATAGCAGCCTCTTGTCCTGAGCTAGATGCCTCTCTTTTTTTTTTTCTTTTTTTTCTTTTTTTTCTTTTTTTTCTTTTTTTTTGAGGAATACTGCTTTTGTGATTAAAGAAAACTGTTTATCTGGAGCTTTACAATACAGTTGGACTTCTGGTTGTATTATGTGTATGGAAGTGATAATCTTTCAGATTTATTGAAGTATTTTAATTTATGAAGGCAATTAGATGGTTTTGAAGATCAGAACTTTTAATATAATTCACTGATTGCTTATTTGTTCAAAACCAGTTTAGAATCAGTTCCTCAATACCTTTTTATAATTAAGTAGACTTAATTTATTTGGTTATGGATGGGGCAGGTATTTTCAGAGGTACAGGTAGAAAATAAATACTCGCTTCCCATTGTTCCTATTGAAAATATCCCTGTTGTAATTTGGACTTCTGCATAATAGGTAAGTTGCTCTTTCGACAAACTTCTTATAGAACTAAAAAATGAACCACTCTGAATTGTTCTAACTGAAAACTTACGAGCCTTCATACTGTACCTGAGGGTAAAACTTTGATCTTTGGCAATGATAGCTCCTTGCATGCTACACAGTATTCGAATTCTCATGGCTTTGTTGGTTTTGCTGACTAGGATTTAAAAAATGTTATAAGTAGTAGATATATTTATCTTAATGATCTGATGAGGACATAGGCTTCAACATGTCAAAAAGTGTTAGCAATTTTCAAAACTAGTTTATGAGGGGTTTAAAACAAAGCAATATTTATTAGATGGAAAAGTAGGAAGTGTGCTGAAAATAACTTTGCTGAGGAAACCATCAGAGCATCATTTTAGTTGGATTCTGAGCCACTTAAGTCTCCTAGATTTCATATGTGTAAGCTCATCAGCCTGTTGCTTTCATTGATTCCTCTAACATGGGAACGCAGTTTTGTACAGTGTGAATTGTTTCGTGGTTGTCTCTGGACTTGGTGATGAGATATTTTTGTCTTTTGAAACAAGGAAACTTGTTTCAAAGGAAGTACATTCATCTTTTCTTCTCTTCATGTCAGAACAAAGATGTATCTTGGATCTCTGTGCCTGAGTATCAATGACTTTGGTTTTGTTATTTTTGTAACCTATTCCAACTAGAATCTTGTTTGGGCAAGTTTTATTTGCAAAGAATTCACAGCTCTCCCTTTGAGCGGTGGTAGTGGGGGAGAAGTTACAAGCATTTCTGTTCAGTAGACATGTATGCTATTGGCTGTATATCTGGATTTGAAAAAATAAACTTTTGAGTCTGCCATTTGTTCACAACTTGATAAAACTACAGTCCTTGGAAAGAAAAAAAACTTTCTTAAGCTTCTTCAGTGTGATGCTGTTAAAAATATTTCGGAGAATGCTGTGGGAGAGCTAGGAATGGGAGGGAGAGAAAATTACTAGGGTAGCTAAAAATGCTAGGTATATCCATATGTATTGAATCTTGTGAGTATGGGGATCCCTCATTAGAATGTGAGAGTGCTCAGAGGAAGCTGCTGTTATCTCACACAGGTTAAAAAGTGTTTAATTGATCGGACTTTGGAGCTCAGCAATAGAATCTCCAGTCACACCTTAGGGTTTGTAGGTTTGTATCCTCAACAGCACTGAATAGTCCTGTCATCTTTTCTGCTTTGGGTGAATTGAGGCTTTTCTGGAGAACCTTTTGATTTGACTTTTTTTTTTAAGAAAAAAATGAGGGGAAGCTGGCAACTTTTATTGAGAGGCCATAGTTTTCATGTCGGAGAGCTAGCTTTCAATAGGAAGCCTGCATAAGTAGAAGGGATGAATTGCAATTATGGCAAAACCTGAGTCTGTTTTGTAGTTTGTGTGTAAACAGTTGGAATTAAGTGTTTTGTCTGTTTGCTCTGTCTCTATTAACCAGGCTTGTTTTATCCCACCACAGCCATGCAGTATTTATAGCAACAACGCAAATGCAAATTTTGACAGATTCAAAGATGAGTTGGATGTGAGGGAACTGTAGATATATTCTAATGTGAAGTGGTTTATGCTAAATTTTTTTCATAGTTTGAGGCATTTGACATGTGTAACAGTTCAGTAGACTACTTTGAAACAAATATATCTGATGTATTATCTCAGCCTAAGAGAATAGGAAGTTATATTTTGCAAGGAGTATATTCTAATTTCTGAGACTAGAATTTCATTAACTTAAAAATCAGAAAGTTTAATTTCCAGGCTCTCAAATAAGTAGTTCAAAAACATGAGGAATTTAACTCAAACTCACTTTGTCTCTTCTGAGGACTGGTTGCTTGGAAGATTTTTCTGTAATAAGTTATACATTATTTTGTCCTGGCTAGAACCTCAAGTGTATTATCTAGTACCTTAATGTTTCCTATTGAATATTTTTTTTTTTTTTAACTGATGCAGTTGAGAAATAGTCCTGTGTAACTGAGGTCATTTATTAGTTCTGGGGAGGAAGATTCCTAATGTCTTGCACTGGTTTAAATTTTCAACTTCAATAACAACCTTTTACTACACTATGCATTAAAAAACAAAGGATATTTAACTAAAGCGTTTCATCAAAATCTTAACTGTTGAGGGGAAAAAAGCCCCACCCTAACAAGTGAACTTCTGTTTGTTTTTCCTTACAAAATGCTTATAGCAGATGTAACTAAATATTGAGAGAGCTGTTGCGTTACTGAGCTCTGACGCACGCTGTATGTGACTCCTGAACTATGTAGCTGACTGTTGTCAGAATGGTTGGTCTTAGCATGGCTGCAGTATGTGTCTAGTTGGTCTGAAGTGCCCCCTCTGAGGGTAGAAAGCTTTGTGAAGATATTTTCAATATACCAGTATTTTTCCTTAGTTTTACTGGTTTAAATCATGCAGTTCGAGGGTTTTTAACCTCCTCACTTTTAAACACTTCTAAATCGAACTTAATTGTCTGTAGATCTGAAGAGAAGTTGGAGCAGGATCACAGTGGTTTTTTTAAAAAAAAAAAAAAAAACAACAACAAAAACAAAAAAACCCCAAAAAACCTGTATCAGAAGCAGGTTATGTTCTCACAGAAAGGGGAAAAGATTGGAAGCTCTGATCTTGTTAAGTATTTCTTGTGGGACTGCTTGTTATCCTGTATCAACACAAGAAGAAAGAGCTGCAAGACACGCAGCTGAGAGGCGTACACAGTTTTTGCTTCATATGCTCCAAAGTGGGATCTTTTTTTGTTTTGTATAAGCAGATCTTAAAATAATGCATGCTTTGCATCATGGCTTAAGAAGGGTTTTGAGCTAGGAAGAGATGGAGAAGTTGGCAGAACACTTCATATGAGGTCACAATTTCAAAATCAGTTTCCTGCATTCAGAGCTGAAATATATTGAACCTGACTTTCAGGGGAAATTACAGTGCTTATCTCTCTGATCAGACTATTGTGGGAGAAGGGCACTATCAAAACATCGTACTGTGAGTGAGGTAATTTATCATATGAGTTACAATCTCTGGCTACTTTTTTGTTAATTATATACTTAGGAATAGCTTGATATTGATCATTCAAAAAGTTTTTAATAAAAACTGTAGGAAATTATGGTTAATGGAGTTCTAGTAACTCCAAATGGTTTAGCTGCGAAGTTAGTTTGCAGTCTTCTGTTCTTACACTGAAGCGTTTGCTTCTGGCTTGTAGAATAAATCTCTGCCTGCCATTTTTTGTTTGTTTGTTTCGGGTTTTTTTGTTTTTCTAGAGGTAGAACTTAATGAAGCATCTCTGGTCACTTCTTTCACTCTTTGTGTTTCTTTTCAAATAGACACGTGCCTCTCAAGAATTTTATTCAGCACACTTGAGGAATCTCTGCCTTAGCTAAATGCCATGGTTCTTAAATGCTGATAGTGAATGATTTACTGATTATTCTGCTGGGAGTGGGAGGAGTGGGAGTGGGGGAACAACTGCAGAAGCTGGTCATTGCAAGTTGTTCACCTGGTTGTTCTCTAAGCAAGGAAAAAAAAGCTTTCATCGTGCTTCTGTTGTGTAAATACCAACTCTCAAAATTTAAATCAGAATTGCAGTTTACTGTATATGTCATGTAAAATGGTATGAAAGAGGACTGAGTAGCTAATGTCTTGTCTGCACTGGTGACACCTTAATATGTAATGACATTTTCTGTTCTGACACTGATGTAAATTTAAATGTCTAAATTGATCTCGGTAGTAAGTTAATAAGTAGAACTAGTACCAGTGGGATGAAACATTATGAAATTTTGACCTGCTTTTGACCTTTTCTTTAACAGGTAAGTTCAGTTCTACGCTCTACGAGACAGGGGGCTGCGACATGTCACTTGTGAACTTTGAGCCAGCTGCAAGAAGAGCATCTAACATCTGGTGTGTGTGAAGGCCAGTCAAGAGTGATGATTCTCTTGTCTTACTGCAACAAAATCTTTGGTTTTAATTTTGAAAGGTTACTTAGTATGGACTACAAAATAACCAATATAAAATATTATCCATATACTTTTACTTTTGAACCCTAAGTGACACTAACTGCATAAATAATCATCTCCACTTAAATAAAGCTTGGAAAATAAAGATTACTATTAGCTTAAGCAATAAACGTCCAAACTGAGAACTTGACAAATGCATTTTTGATTGGCTTACAGAAAGTATTTCTTAAAGGATTTAACCCACGTTTTGGGAAAGTAGGTGGCTGTTGACCATAATGGCTATTAACTTATTTACAAATGAACTTCCAATTGTGAAGCAAATGTAAACTGATAAATTTGTTCCTAGATGGCATGAAACAATACATGGAAGTGTTAACATGCCTGAGGTTAAAATTTGACTTACAGTTGAAATAGCCAGCTACATACTGGAAAGTTCATCTGCTGTTGGAAAGATGCCCTTTCTTTCTCTGAAGGGACAGGAGGCAGAAGAAAGAAAACCCAAAACCTCCCCTGCCCACCAATCCACTTCACTACATAGAACTGCTCTGAAGCTACTGCGTCATGCTAAATGCTACAGATTCCCACCACACATAGGGTGGAATAGCTATTGGAATTGTGGAGTAATGAATATAAAGGCTCCCTTCTTCAAATCTTTCTTGTGAAACTGTGCAAGTGCCTTTTGTAGAGTTGAACTTTGACAAAAAGTTCTGTATTCCTTGCACAAGCTGCCAATGCCTGCCTTTACTGCTTGCATGTTCCAGATGCAATGGCTTTGCTGATGGCTGCTGTTATGAAGTTGTATGTGTTAATGGAAGGAACAAACTGGCCATGTCCAAATAATCAGATCTCAGCTTTAGAGAAAATACTTGAGTGTCAGTGAAGTAAAATTGATAACAAAGAATGTTTTTATCCTAAGGCAAGGAACTGAAGGGAAGTTGCATAAATTTGATACGAGTCTTACAGCCATGTGATTTACATGGAAAACAAACATCCAAAAGCTATCCAAAATTGGGGAAAAAAGCAATGGTTGGATATGGACTCTCATACAGTAAGAGAAACTTCTCCTCATCTCTAATGAATGGAAATTGCAAAGTAATTTTGCTCTTCTTACCAGAGGTTTAAGTTTATTTACAGTTAAGTTTTTCAAAAGCAATTTAAGATTAAGTAGCTCAGTGTACTCGTGTTAAGTATGTACTATTTTTGGCAGTTTTGGGACCTTGGTAAAAACAATATATAATTAACAAAAACTCTGTATGTGAACGCATAGCGGACTCTGCACTCCTTTAGAGAGGTGATGCGTGTTTACATATCAGTAGCTAGCAGATTATAAAACATCTTTGTTCGAGTGGAATAATTATTATCATGATAATCCTTTTTAGAAAATTTAGGAGCTAAATGTTGATAAAATTATGCTATGGGTAAGGGTAAAGAGTCTCCTGGTTTATTATAGCTACAGAATTTACCACAAGACAAAGTAGATACTTGTATTTAAAATACGCAATTGAAGGAAAAACTTAAAGATCTTTAGCTAAAATTTGCAAGGAGTCAAAATTAATTTGGGACACTAGAAAATTAGAATGGCCTGTTGACATAAAATGTAGTTTTATAATCTGAAGTCTTTCCCCTGTTCTTATAGTGACACGGACTCTCACGTATCGAGTTCTACCTCAGTTCGCTTTTATCCACATGATCTAGTAAGTTTTTCTTATTTATTTTTAAAGCATGCAAAAAATCAGAAGACTTTCCAATTTTGTAGCACTGATTAGTCATCCTATATGATAATTCTTTGTTCTTAAGCAGGATTTTTGCCTGGGTTTAAATGAAGATAAAATATTTATTTATTGTTGTCTTCATATATACATACAAATTCATCTTTATGCTTAGCATTTTAAAATTTAAAGATAAATGGTCTCCTCTGATCTAAAGCATAGTGATTTTTTTCTAAATCACGTGAAAATTGGATGTTCTGCAATATCTTGTAAAGGTTTCCGGAGATGACCGGACAACTTGAACAGAGTTTTCCTTCTGTGTGTTACTAAAATTAGGAGGCAGCAGAAAGAATGAACTTCACGTTCTGATGAAGAGAAACTTCAGTAATTTCCTTGAAAGGAATTTAAAAATTTTTCATTGGAATTTGCTGCACAAAATTTTAATTGACATGCAAGGAGTGACTGGGCAGAAAAAGGCAGAGGCTTATGCAGTTTTGTGCTGCAGATAGCTTTAGATATCTTTAGTTTTGTGGTCTCAAACCTTTTATATTGTTGTCAAGTCCAGACATATCTGTACTCTGAAGTCTGATATTGCTGTGTCACAAAAACAGTGCAAGTGGTCGTGAGTCTTAAGGTCATGATTCTTAAGCTTGGAAACCAAAGTAAAGGATATTGAAGTACCTAATGGCTTAAGAAGGAAAATGAAATACAGATTCAGCATTTGGCAGAGGGAGCAAGAGACTTCCATTTACCTGACCATGCTTTTGATCAAGAATGTGCTCTTCAAACCTGGTGTCTACTAGAGGAACTTTCTTTTGCCTTCCACCGTTCACCTTGAAAATGTAGCCTTCAAAGAAGGCTGTTAAGAAACCAAGTTTTAAAGAAGTTGTCAAAAAAGCACCTGTTTTCTGACACAGCCTATCTTAGAAAGTATGTTTTGTACTTTTGAAATGCCTTTAGAAAGGGAGTGTTCCTACTTGTTCATTAGTATTTTTCTAGGAAGACAAAGCTGGCTGAGCACAGTTACAGTATGCTGATGCTTTAAGGAGTCATGGAAAAAAAATTCAAAAATGAGAAATCAAATGTTAAAGATAATTGTAAAAAACAAAAAAACCCCCCAAAACGAATCAACCCCAAACCCAGCAAAAAATCCACCCCAAACTAAAATTTTGACATGTAAAGGTGACATGAGTATTTAAATTGTACTCTTTGCTTTAAAAGATTATGAAGATTTTTCATTAAGTGTCATTTTAATGATGATATTCTTTAAGAATAAAGGGCAGTACATTAAGATGCTTCTTGGCCTGTTAATGAAATTTAAAGTGGGTTGGATGACACATCCATACTGTAGTAACTTTAGTTTTTAACTTTCTGAGTACTCTCCCTAAATGTCTTTTATGGTTGTTAGTATTACTGTGATTTCAAGAGAACTCTAGAGTGACAAGCTACAAAGCAAGTGAGAAATAATGCTAGTCATAAATGGTAGTAGAGTAGTTAGGGCAGAGCTTTTTCTAGTCTGTCTCTGAGTATATGAATTTGACCACTGATGCATGCGTATGTTGCTTTGTCATGCAAAAACAACCATTCGGCACGGGTACGCGCGCAGATTAGCTGACTACAAGAAATGTGTTGTACTTTATTTAAATTCAGAATTGGATTGTTCTTGTAGGATACTTTATTCCTGTTCACATATCAGTTTACTTGTCTTCAAATTTGAAGTTTTCATGGTAAACGGGATAATGTGTTTGGAAGATGTGTTCACGCTTCATTTGAAATAAGGCATATGCTAAAACGCCAAACAGTTGTGCTGTATGCAAAGTATTATTGTTGCTGGTGCTATTCATTTGCTGTGATAAGGACAGGAAAAGTAAGTAGAAGCCTCAGAACAGAGTATTTAACATATAACTTCTTAAAAGTGAAACTAAATAATTCTAGTATTTTTTTCTGAAGCAGTTTTCAGTAGACTATAGTGATATAATAAAAATGAGCTTTTGTTAATACTGTCTGTCTTTTAGCTTTCTCTTCCTCAGATCAGGTTGAACAGGCTGCTAACCATGGACACAGATCTACTGGAGCAGCAAGATATTGACCTGAGCCCTGACCTTCAGGACCACATGCAACCTCAAGAGGAAGCAGCTCAGAAAGTCAAGCAGTACTATCGCTTTTGGATCCTGCCTAAGCTTTGGATTAGCATCAATTTTGATAGATTAACTCTTCTGGCTTTATTTGATAGGTGAGATCCTCATATGTTACTAGACTTCAGAAAGTAAACATTAAAAGATGGTAACTAAACTGTGAGTAATACAGATAAAGCTATCCTTAGACAATTGTACTTATCTACTGTACTCTGAAAGATGAAAGAATAATACAAAATGCAGTTTTTCTCAGATAACGAAGGCTACTCTCCCTTTTTTCTGGCAATGCAAAAAAAAAAATCCCTCATTTTGTATGAGTGGGGCGATATGGTCAAAAAAGATAGATTTGTTGCTAATTTTAAAGCTAGAAAGTAACTTTCTCAAAAAAAGAAAAAAATTGAAAGAGTCTAGAGCTTGGTATATGCTTAGATTGTTTCAGTGAATAGAGAGAATTTACCTGCTGTTTCAAAGCATTTTTTCCAAAGGGTCATCTAATACTGTAACCTCTTGTCCCTGCTGCATTTACTTAATGGAATAAAATGGTGACACAC